CCCCCGCCCCCACCAGCCTGCCTTCTAACTCAGCCTGGGAAGACAGAAAGGTTCTGGAGATGGTTGGTGGTGATGGTTGCATGTGAATGTACTTAATGCCATTGAACTATACACTTAAAAATGGTTGCAATGGTAACATTATGTATATGATACCACAATTTTAAAAAAGTGAAACCCCAAACGCTCTTTAATAAATACCTTAAGCATTTTCCAGCATGGGGGAAGGGATGAAGAAATCAGCAACAAAGGGAGCAGAGCAGAGAGCTGAGAATCGTGACCGGTGACAGGAGGGACAGCAGGAACCTCCCCTTCCTCAGCTTGCTCAGGCCTCGACCTAAGTCCCTCGTTCTGGGTTTGTCAAGGCAGAAAGTCCCAGGGCCCCACCCCGGTTGGGGCTATGCCTCTGGTAGCGCAGCTTCCCAGCCCGTTGGGGGTCATTTCTTCTCATTCACTGCACTGAACGTCAGAGTCAGACAGACCTGAGCTGGAGTCCAGCCTCTGCTACACACTTGCTGGGTGCCTGGGAGCAAAGCCCCTTTCCTTCCTGGGCCTGAGTTTCCTGGCCGCGGACTGTAAGGCTGAGCAGGCCTCCCAACGCTCTTCCTGCCTACACACTGCATGATTCTCTCAGTGTTTACAGAACTCTGTTCACCCTGCCTGGATTCTAGCAGGAGTCATGCCGCCCTGAAAGTCATGCTCATGCCCAGGACCCTCTTGGTCAGTTCCAGCAGTGACCCTGTTCCCTCCTGAAATTGGGAAGTCCTAGGTCTTGCCCCAGCATTGACAATCTCCTCTCCAGCCCTGAGGCCCCTGCTGTGAACCAAGCCCTGGGCTAGGTGTCAGTCACACATTCCCAGTTAACTCACAGGGCAACCCATTTTATGCACCAGTAAGGAGACGCGGGAAACTGAGCCCTGAGCTCAGAGCCCTGCTGGGACAGAAAAAAGCGGCGGGGTCACCCAAGAACCCTTCCCAGAGACGGAAACTGCTAGGTGCCAGGGGCAGGAGGCGGGCGCTGCGTCCCCGGGGCCCGGGACGGGGGGCGGGGCCCGCGGCGGGGGGCGGGGTTGGCGGCCGAGCGTGCGAGAGGCTTCTCTGCGCTGCGTCTCCGCGCAACTGCCCGCCCGGTGCCATGGCCGCCGATCGGCGCGGGAAGGCCGAGACTCTGGCCCTGAGGCGGCGGCTGCTAAGGTACTGAGACGGCGGCGCGGGGCGGTGCGCGCACGCACGACGCACGCACGTCCGGCGCGGAGCCCGCGGAGCCCAAGGACCTCAGCTCCGGGCCTCGCGCGGGCCCCGGCTCCCCGGCCCCACAGACCCAGCCGCCAGCTGCGGGTCCGCGGGATCCCCGCGGCCGCCTCCCCGCCTGCGTCCTCATCGGGCTGCCCTGCGGCGCCGGGCCGGCCCCACCGGCCGCCGCTGACCGGCCTTGGCCCCCTGGAGAAGGCCTCTGCCCTGGCACCTGGGAGGACCTCCCCCAGGGTTGGCCCGCCAGCTGGACCTGGCCTGAGAGTGATCCAGGAAGGGACTGAAAGTTCAGACGGAGGGTGGGCATGGGGGGTCGTCTCCCAGGAAGCCTTAGAGAAAGCCTACCTGTAACCTGTGAGAGGGACTCTTGGTGGCACATGGGGCTGACACCCAGCAGGGTAGCAGAGGCACTGGGCTGGCAAGGACCTTTCAGAGCTGAGCTCCAGCCACCTGCGAGGGTGCCCTCCCTCACACGCATCCCAGCAAGGAAACCCTGCTCTAAGGAGCCCCCGTGGTTCTGGAGCTGCCGCCGTTCCTTGGGATCCAAGGGATTAATGTGGGCACGTGCAGAAATGAGCAAGGCCGCCTAGCCTTCACATGACTTAAATAATTTCAGTTTTAGCAGCTTCTCACCCTATCACTTCCTCCTTTCCAGCCACCTATGGGTGAGGGACTGGAAGCAGGAAAGCACCACTGTGCCCTTAAAGTTTTGTCCCTCCCAGAAACTGGGGGGTTGTGGGGGGCAGGTGCTATGGTGGGTGGACTTGTCCCTTCAGGTCTTCAGACATGGCTGTCCACTTCTTACTGTCCCCACAGCAATTCTTGCAGACTCTTTTATCCTGAGGATCCTATTAAGATTGTCCGGGGCCAAGGACAGTACTTGTACGATGAACAGGGTGCAGAATACCTGGATTGTGTCAACAATGTGGCTCATGGTTAGTATCCTACCTCAGGCTGGCAGGGCAGGGGGGCAGGCTGAGGCTGTGAACCTGGTCCCAGGGTGATCCTGAGATTGCAGAGAGGTGCGGAGAACTTGGGTTGAGCTGAGCAGAGGAGCCCAGTCTTTCTGGTGTGCCTCATGGAGAGGCTTCAAGCAGTAGCTGTGCTAAATCAGGCAGCACAGCAGTCGGAAGTCCAGTTCCACTTGGGACTGATGGTAAGCTCAGAGAACAGTCAGCCTGACCATGACCAGCAACACAGCAGGCCTCTGGCCAAGTATTGGGAATCATGGCTGGGCTTCAGCCCCGGGGACCTTCTCAGGTGCTAGGCAAGGAAACTGAAGTAGGAATTTAGTTATCCAGGTGGGGCCACCAGAGCTGATGGGATGAAAAGGAGTCTGTGACCCAAAAAGCAAACTAGAGGTTAATGAAATAGAGAGTAAAAACAAGGGCTCTAGTCCCAAACCGCTTGGGTTTATCATATCCCTGCCCTCCACTTACATTATGATCTTGGGCAAGTTGTTTAATTCTCTGTGCCTCAGTTTGCTCATCTGCAAAATAGACACGATAATACTAGGGACTCATCTCAAGGTGTTTTAGAGGAATAAGTGAATTAATTTAGATAATTTGCTTGGAGTGTGCCTGGCTCAACACAGGTTGAGCTGTTATAATCCCAGGCTGTTGGCAATCAACATTACCTCCCGCCTCCATTGATTAGTGAAGTCAAGCCTGCCAACAGGCACTCCTCCCCACATCCTGTCTTTGTCCAACAGGCCTCAAGAAGCTTCCTTACAGACACGGATTTTCTAGATAGGGTTTCTGCCAACAAACTTTTTCTTTTGCCCGAATCTCGGGGACTCCTTTCTAGAACTGGCCTCTCTGGCACATACATACACCCCGTCTTCAGACTCGCCTCTTTCCTCTCTGCCTCTCCCTCACAACTGCTCTCCTCTGGCTGGATTTATGGACTACAGCTGGGGGAGGCCTGGTGGGGCTGGCTGAGCAGAGCCACTATGTGACATTGGTGGCCCTCTTCCAGTTGGGCACTGCCACCCTCTCGTGGTCCAAGCAGCGCACGAACAAAACCAGGTGCTGAACACCAACAGCCGGTACCTGCACGACAACATCGTGGATTATGCACAGAGGCTATCAGAGACCCTGCCGGAGAAGCTCTCTGTGTTTTATTTCCTGAATTCTGGGTAAGTGGACTTCGGCCGGTGGTGAAGACAGAATTGCTCACCTATTGAAACCTAGTGTGGCTGACCCAGCAAGCACTGGGAGCGAGGCAGCCTTGCCCTTGCTGAGTCGGGAGCCCACACTCCCCTCTGTAGACCCTGGTGCTCACTCTGTCAGATCCCAGTTTTCTGGTCTCTTAGTAAGGCATGCCAGTACCTCTGTTGCATGATTGTCTCCATGATTGTCTTGGGGGCTTACCTAGGTAATATGTTCCTTTACTTCTGCCTTATGAATACACAGGCCCAGCTGGGGGGTATAGCCAAAATCCCTGCCCTCAGCTCGCTCAGTAAGGAACAGAAACATCAACTGGTCCTTCACAGAAATGCAGAGGTCATTGTCTGGAGGAGAAGGAAGGGACCTGATGAGGCAGAGAAGCGGTGAGGAGCCAAAGCCTGCCAGCAGAGGGTCAGGGAAGACTTCTCTATCAGGCAAAGAGCTGATGAGCAGGAAGGAAGCTGCCTACTTCACCAGAAGTATTCACGTCAGGGTTGCTCAGCCTGTGCAAAGGCCCTGCAGCAGTCAGGGCATGGCATCTGGCACACTTGAGGACCCAAAGAGAGAGGAGGGGGTATGAGCTGACACATTCCAAGTGAGGAATTTGTTTTTATCCTGAGAACACTGGGAAGCCATCTGAGGGTTTTAATCAGGCAAGTGATGTCATCGGGGCTGGAGAAGAGCAAGAATGGACCCCATTGGGCACCAATTCAGCAGCCAGGTGACAGGTGATGGTAGCTAACGCTGGTAGTGGCAGCGGGGACAGGAACAGCAGATGATGATGTGTACGTAGGTCTGGCCCAGCCTTGCCTGGGACAGAACACTCCAACAAACCGAGTCATGGCATTTGGGTTATAGTAATGAGTGTTACCATCATCACTGTCATTTTCTTTTTTTTTTTTAATGTTTATTTATTTTTGAGACCATGCGAGAGACAGAGTGCAAGCAGCGGAGGGGCAGACAGAGGGAGACACAGAATCTGAAGGGGGATCCAGGCTCTGAGCTGTCAGCCCAGAGCCTGACGTGGGGCTCGAACTCATGAACTGTGAGATCATGACCTGAGCCGAAGTTGGATGCTTAACCGACTGAGCCACTCAGATTCCCCCCTGTCATTTTCATCCATCAGTAGGCCCCCCACCCCTGCTGCCACACCTTGGTAATTTCTAGGATGCGTAAGTTCCCATCCTCAGTTTGCAGATAAGGAAATCGTAGTTCAAAGAAAGGACTCAGCTTGGGGTCCTTTCTGGGGCAAAGCCAGAACCAGAGCTTATTAGGGAAGAGCAGAAAGCTGGGTCCAGGAGTGAGAGCTTCCTGGGCAGTGGGGTCAGGGACGTTTGCTGGTTTATTCCATCACATGCACTCTGGATTCCAGCAACTTCCACGTTGCCAAATCCAGTGGTCTCTTTGCTGCTCTTGCCTTACACTATCTCTCAGCAATGTTGACAGCATCACCACTCTCCAGAAGTGCTTTCTAGTCTCGCTTCCAGGATGCTGCACACTCCCGGTTTCCACCAGCCTCTGGCCACCCCTTGGTCTCCTCTGCCAATCGCTTCTCCTCTCTTCTTTGGGGCTGGTCCTGAGCCCTCTCCCTGTGTGATCTCATCCATTTCCAAGTCTTTCCATGTTCACGTGCTAATGACTCCCAAATTTGTGTCTCAAGCCCGGATGCTTCCCATGTGTTCCAGCCCCAAGGTTCTAAATGACCACTTCTGGAACATCTCCAACTCGATGGGTCCAAAAGGAGTTGGTTGTCTTCTGCCAACACCTGGTATGGGACCACGGCACTGGCTGTCACTGGCATTCTCAGGAGGACAACCCCCCTGCCACCCCGACCCTGTCCCACCTCGTAAATGGCAACACTATCTGCATCTCTCCTCCAGGCAGGAACCACACACCCTCCTCCCAATCCTACAGCAAGCCCACTTCATCTGTCCCCAAGTTGTCTTCTGTCTCTGTCCCTCTTTCTGTTCTCCATGGCCATGACCTGCTCTGAGCTGGGTGTCCTTAGCTCTTGTCTCTTCCCCTTTTACTCCATTAGGCCCACACAGCCAGAGGCTGCCTCCTCAGATGGGAGCTGATTCACGTCCCTTCTCAGATTAAAACTCTTAAGTAGCAGGGCACCTGGGTGGCTCTGTCGATTAAGTGTCCTCTTGATTTTGGTTCAGGTCGTGACCTCAGGGTCGTGGGATCAAGCCTCATGTCAGGCTCTGTGCTGAGCGTGGAGCCTGCTTGAGATTCTTTCTCTCTCCCTCTGCTCCTCTCCCCTGCTTGCATTCTCTCTCTCTCTAAAAATAAAATAAATCTTGAGGTGCCTGGGTGGCTCAGTCGGTTAAGCGTCTGACTTCGGTTCAGGTCATGGTCTCACAGTTTGTGAGTTCGAGCCCTGCATCAGGCTCTGTGCTAACAGCTCAGAGCCTGGAGCCTGCTTCAGATTCTGTGTCTCCTCCTCTCTCTGCCCCTCCCATGCTCATGCTCTGTCTCTCTCTGTCTCTCAATAATAAATAAACGTTAAAAAAATTTTTTTTAATAAATAAAATAAATCTTTAAAAAAAACAAATACAGCAAACCTTGGTTCGCAAGCATAATTCATTCCAGAAACATGGTTGTAATCCAAAGCACTTGCATGTCAAAGCAAATTTCAAGAACCGTTGGCTCAGTTGTGATCATGTGACATTCAGTGTCTCATACCACTCATAAGACATTGCTCATTTATCAAGTTAAAATTTGTTAGAAATGTTTGCTCATCTTGCAGAACACTCACAGAACAAGTTACTCACAATCCAAGGTTTTACTATAAATAAAAATAAAAAACTCTTCAGTAGCTTGGCATGGCACTGAGAAGAAAATCTAGGCACCTTCCAAGGTCCTGTGTGTGGGGCCCCTGCGTATCTCCCCACTTCCTCTCCCATGCTGACCCTTGCCTCCCTTGTGCGTCTCGGTTCCCTGAGCACACCGAGCACTTTTCCTGCACATGTCCCTTGCACATGCTGCTCACTCTGCCTAGAAACTTCCCTCTGGGGACTCAGTTCTGGTGGTGTCTCCTCACAGAGGTTTTCCCTGACCCCTTTAGATAGGGCTGCCATGACAAAATGCCACAGGCTGGGAGGCTTGAATAACAAATTTATTTCTCCTACTCCTGGAGGCCAGAATCCAAGAATAAAATGTCAGCAGGTTTGACTTCTTTGAGGCCTCTCTCCTTGGTTTGTAAATGGCCACCTTCTGGCTGTGTCCTCACTTGGTCTTTCTTCTTGGCGTCCACGCCTCTTGTGTCTCTGTGTGCCCACGTTTCCTCTTCGTGTAAGGACACTAGTCAGATTGGATTAGGGCCCACCCTGACAGACTCATTTTAATTTATATAAATTTAGGGGCGCCTGGGTGGCTCAGTCAGTTGAGTGTCTGACTTTGGCTCAGGTTATGATCTTGTGTTTCTGGGTTCCAGACCCACATCAGGCTCTGTGCTGACAGCTCAGAGCCTGGAGCCTGCTTCAGATTCTATGTCTCCCCCCCGCTTTCTGCCCCTCTCCTACTTTCACTCTGTCTCTGTCTCTCAAAAATAAATAAATGTTAATTCATATAAATTTATGTTAAATAGTCACATTCTTAGGTGGTAGGGGTTAGGGCTTCATCATAAGAATTTGGGGGGACACAATTGAGGCCCTATGTGGTTCTCTTGGGGCACTTATGATCATTCTTTGTTTATTTTGCTTTCATGATACCTACTAGAATGTAGAAAGCTCCAGAAGAGCCAGGACCTATTTTCCTTACTATTTCCAGCCCCCACCCCAGCTCCTAGCACATTTGATAAAATGTTGATTGAGTGAATGAACTCAAATGAGTCACAAATGGTGTCCTGAGAATCTTCTTGCTGCTGGCAGGGCTTTTCTTTCCCTCTGGACTTCCCTGTAGGAAGCAGGTATCCAGGAGGAAAGCCCTTGGACAGCAGTCTGAGCGGGGCCCACGTTTTCTTTCATAGGTCAGAAGCCAATGACCTGGCCCTGAGGCTGGCCCGCCAGTACACGGGACATTGGGACGTGGTGGTGTTAGACCAGTAAGTGCCATTTCCAGAAGCCTGGGCCCACCACTTACTGGGGATCACTGAGGCTCCAGCTAGAATGCCTTGGGCAGGAAGATGAGGAGGGGCCTGGGCTACTGGAGGGAAACATGAAGACCCGGCCATAGAGACACCCCTACATACACCAGGGGGCTCTTTCCCCCAGGGCCTCTCTTCTGGCAGCAGAAAATGCTTTGTAAGGTGGTGAGAATGGGTCCCACAGTTTGGTATTAAAACAGCCCTGATGGTATTGAGTATCTGCTGTGCACCAGGCCCAGGCCCAGGGCTAGAGCATTAATGACAGTTCTGAAGGAGAACCCCCCCACCCCCCACTTCTCAGCAGACAGAACTGAACCCAGAGAGGTTAACCGATTAGCCACCATTCTAGCTAGTAAGCGGTCATATGGGAAGTCTTAACCGGCTCCAAGGCCCATGCTGGTTCCCAGCCCCAGGAGTCGGGGGCTGTGTTGGAAAGGTTGGTCTTACCTGTGTCTCCTGAGGTCGATGGACGTTGGTCGGGACTGGGCCATGGAGTACTCGTTCCTGAGCCCCCTCCGTTCTTCTCCTCAGTGCTTATCACGGTCACCTGAGCTCCCTGATTGACATCAGCCCCTACAAGTTCCGAGACCTGGATGGCCAGAAGGAGTGGGTCCATGTGGTATGCACTGCCCAAGTGGGCAACAGGTCGGTGCTCACCCCCCCAGCCTGGATGACACGGCGCTGTCACTCCCACAGGCACCTCTCCCAGACACCTACCGGGGTCTTTACCGGGAGGACCACCCCAATCCGGCTGGGGCCTATGCCAGCGAGGTGGAACGCGTGGTGAACAGCGTACAGGAAAAGGGCAGGAAGGTAACTGTGTCTGCACAGGTCCCGTGAATCGAACAGCGGCTGGCATTTCAACCCAGTCCTAGATACCGGGGACCCTGGGAGAAACTGGAACTGGGCCCCCCCCCATTAGGAATCTAGTTGGGGAGGGGGTTAGCTGCTCAGCAGACAGTCTAGATACAGGTACGTGCTGGGTGTTACCGGAGTCCAGAGGCCCCTGGCTGGACGGTTCCGTGCAGAGGGGTTAGCACTCAGGGGGCATGGGGCAACCCAAGCAGACATCACCGTGGGGCCTGGCTGAGCTGGCAGGAAATGAGCTTAGAGAAGCAGGCAGAACGTAGGCCTACAAGGGCAGTGCAGGAGGGCTGGAGGCCAGAGAGCAGTAAGAGCACGGCTGAGGCCGTGAGGAGGCCCTGCCCCCGTGTTGTAGTGGAAGTGGAGTTCAGGGGCAGAGACAGGAGAGATGGGTGTGCACTGGGAGAGCAGTGGCCACGGGGACCGCTGGACGGAGTTAGCTGTTGGTGGGAGGGCTCTCCGGAAAGTCTTGCTGCAGCAGTGACAGCTGAACACAGGACACACAGCAAAGAGCAGCAGGCTATGAAGCCAGAAAGCCTGGCAGGACCAGATCAGGGGAGCTCGGCGTGTGCATTTCAGATGCTTTGCCTGCACTTACATAAAAGCAGAAAAGAGACTGTTTCCTACCCCATCAGTCCTTCCTTCATCTGGGTGGTAGCCTCTGAAGCAGCTCTAGGACTAAACATAGCTTGGAGGTCACAGCTGTAAGAAATGGGGTCACGGAAGTGCTTTACACAGGACAGTGATGAGTTTGGCGACTGAGCTGAGGCTCACCCTGGTGGCCGATGGAGGATGGACTGCCAGAGGCATCCCACCAGGTGGCATCTGCAGGAGGCCAAGGCAGAAAGTGACAGATATGCCAGGAGGCAGGTGTGTCCAGGTGGAGGGGCTGAGCGTGCGCACAGACACTGGAGAGGCAGAGGCCGTGCTGACTGGATGAAGGAAGAGGCTGGATCAGGGCTGGGGGCTGAGTTTCCCTCGGTGGGGGTGATGGGAGTCACCAGGGAGGAGCAGGGAAGGAACAGTCCGATGGGGAGAAACCTGGGACCTGCTGCGTACAAAGGGTCTGGAGAACTCCATGCAGTAAGAGTTGGTTTGCGGACCCAGAGCAAACCCGGTCACAGGCCAGATGTGACCTGGAGTCCGAAATGGCCACACAGCCACGCTGGTGACTGGTCCTGCTTGGAGCCAGCGCTGAGCCAGCATTGGCAGGACATGCTCCGCCTGCCACTCAGTGCCTCCACAGTGGTATCCCCAGCATCCTGTCTCGTCCACAGATTGCAGCGTTCTTTGCAGAGTCTCTGCCCAGCGTGGGAGGACAGATCATCCCCCCTGCCGGCTTCTTCCAGGAAGTGGCAGAGTGAGTAGCTGAGATGGCAGGGCTGTAATAATGGGGTTTCCCGACCTTTGTTCCAAATTCCAGCCTCAGCTTGGCCTCTTGGCCAGAACTTTGAGAAGAAATGGTGGCTCTGAGAAAGCCAGCCACCTGCTTAAGGCCCCCACCTTAGTGCTGGCAGAGCCAGGGTTCAGGGTCCAAGACCCCCGAGCTCCTGGTCTGATCCTCCTTATCGCAGACCCAGTCAGCCATCTGTCCTCTGCCACAGGCACATCCACAGGGCCGGAGGGGTCTTTGTCGCAGACGAGATTCAAGTGGGCTTTGGCCGAGTGGGCCAGCATTTCTGGGCCTTCCAACTGCAAGGAGAAGACTTCGTCCCTGACATTGTCACCATGGGCAAGTCCATCGGCAATGGCCACCCCGTAGCCTGTGTGGCCACAACCCAAGCTGTGGCAAGAGCATTTGAAGCCACCGGCGTCGAATACTTCAACACGGTGAGTGAAGGCTCCAGGGCAAGGGAGCACCGTGTGTCCTGCGGGCCTCACCCTGGTGGTCCTTAAAGAGCAAAGGCCACAGGCCTAGCACTGTGCCCAGTGCACAGATTTCTAAGATGCTGTCCTTGGGGGTTACTGTAGGTCAGAGGGAAAAATATACACAACCTTAATTTTTTTTTTTAATGTTTCTTTATTTTTGAGAGAGAGAGCTTGAGCAGAGGAGGGGCAGAGAGAGGGGGAGACAGAGTCCCAAGCAGGCTCCATGCTGTCAGCACAGAGCCTGTTGTGGGGCTCAAACCCACAAACCGAGATCAGTTAAGATCATGACCTGAGCCAAAGTCTGACGCTCAACCAACTGAGCCACCCAGGTGCCCCACACACCTTTTAAAAACTCGCATCAATCTAAAAGCTGTCTCAAGAGACAGTGCCTTGTAAAGTATGCAGAATGAATACAAGAGGCCCTCTCTCCCTTCTGGGTGTCAGGCCCTGTGCCTGAGCTGATGCAGGTGTGTGAGGAGCTCCACCTGTCTGGGTGACTAGTGGTCTGGGAGCAGAGTTAACATTCCAGTTGGAGCTTTGAGGAGGGCATGGCTCCCTGTCCTTGGGCGGGGGGGGGGGAGGGAGGCTGGAGAGCTTTCCCTAAGTTCAGCGGCACTGAGAGAACATGCAGGGGGTGAGGGGAGCACGGTCATCAGCAGGGGCTTCCTCAGAGCTGAGGAGTCAGGACCCATCCTGACGTCAGTGACGAGCCATGACGAGCCATGGAAGGGTTTTAACTGGGGACAGATGAGGTCTGAAATACACTCGAGAAGGATCTCTGGTGATCAGTGTAGAGAAAGAACCAGAGGTGGGGAAACGGATCCAGAAGGATCTTGTCTAAGACAGGAAGACCCAAGTCTGGGCACAGGCCACAGGGAGGACATGGGCAGGGACAGCGTCGAGGGAAGAACTCACTATGACTTCTCAAAAAAGAGCCAGTTCAAATTGGGGCTGAAACATGTCAGGATTGGGCAAGGTGGGCAAAAGTTGGCAGAGGTCGTTAAGGGTGAGGGCTGATGGTTTGGTAAATCGTCACTTTGTGCCCAGGAGACACGCAGATAGAGCTCCTGCCCTGGACCAGACCTGTAGACACCTGACCTTGGAGGCGTGGACAGCTTGCATTCGGGGACAGCACAAGGGACGAGGGATGTGGGAGGGAGGGTGGAGAAGGGGTGTCCTGTGAGGGGGGCGTCTGGGGGAACAGGGAGGAGCAGCCCTGGGAGCAGGAAGGAGTGTGTTGTGAGGGCTGAAAGACAGATCTGGGTTTTTATTTCTTTGGCTTAACCTGAAGTGCCCATAGTTAGATCATACAAACCGTGGTTCATGAAGACTCATCCTCTGTCCCTGCACGGTCCTCTCTTCATTAGCCAGCTATCCAGGTACTTTTGTTTATGTAATAAGCATCCAAGAAGCCATTATTCCAAATGAAAGTTAGGACCTGGACAGTAACCTGCATCTACCTGTATGGTTGCTCCCCAGTCCCATCTCATTGCCTCTGCCACCCCGGTAACCATCACCACGTTCATTATTTATTCTGGTTGTTTTTTTAACCTTATAAAACGTGTATCATGCTGTGTGTTGTCTTTGGAGATTTGTTTTTTTCACCTAACATTAAGTCACTAAGAATTGTCCACATTGCTTGTCACTGAAGTTTGTTGTTGCTTTAAGGGTATGTGTTTACTTTGAGAGAGACAGAGACATTCCGGGGTGGGGGGTGGGGGTGGGGAGGGACACAGAGAGAGGGGTTGAGAGAGAATCCCAAGCAGGCTCCATACTGTCAGCACAGAGCCCAACTCAAAGCTTGAACTCATGAAACCTGAGATCATGACCTGAGCTGAAACCAAGAGTCAGATGCTTAACCAACTGAGCCACCCAGGCACCCCTGAAGTTTGTTTTGACTGTATTATACTGTCCCCACCATATGAATGGGCCCTGGCTTATTTGTCCATTCCTCTTGATGTGCTCTGGGGTTGTCCCCATGTTTTTTGCTGCTATAAATAACTTTTATAAGTTTCTGTTGTACATGTGCAAGAGTCTGTCTTAGGAATAGACCCTACAAGTGTAATTGCTAGGTCGTGGGGGTCTGTGTTCACCTCCATTTTAACAGATGATGACATCTGTTTTCCACAGTAGGTCACAAGTTATCATCCTGCCTGCGGCGGGTAAGAGATTCTGTGGGTCTACTTCCTCTCAAATGCCTTTTAACATTTGCCGGGCAAGTAGGGTTAAAATGGTAGCCCCTCATGTCAGGGAGTGTTCTTGATACGCCATCCCCTGGTTTCAAATTACGTGAAACATCTCTTCATATGTTTTTGTTTTAAGTTTTTATTTAAATTCTAGTTAACATACAGTATAATGTTAGTTTCAAGGGTACAATATAGTGATTCAGTGCTTCCATACAACACCCAATGTGACACCCATCGTGACAAGTGTGCTCCTTAATCCCCATCACCTATTTCCCCCACCCCCCACCCACCTCCCCTCTGATAACCTTCAGTTTGTTCTCTTTAGTTAAGAGTCTGTTTCTTGGTTTGTTTCTCTCTCTCCCTTTTTTCCCCCTTTGCTTGTCTATTTTGTTTCTTAAAGTCCACATAGGAGTGAAGTCATAGTCATATGGTATTTGTCTTTGTGACTTATTTCGCTTAGCATTGTATTTTCTAGCTCCATCCATGTTGTTGCAAACGGTGAGATTTCATTCCTTTTTATGGCTGAATAACATTCCATTGTTTATATATACCACATCTTCCTTATCCATTCATCAGTCGATAGACACTTGGGCTGCTTCTATATCTTGGCTATTGTAGATAATGCTGCTATAAACATAGGGTACATGTAACCCTTTGAATTAGTGTTCTTAATATTCTTTGGGTAAATACTCAGTAGTGCCATCGCTGGATCATAAGGCAGTTCTCTTTTTAACTCCATACTGTGGCTGCACCAGTTTGCATTCCCAACAGTGCACAAGGGTGCCTTTTTCTCAACATCCTCACCAACACCTGTTGTTTCTTGTGTTGTTGACTTTAGCGTTCTGACAGGTGTGAGGTGATATCTGATTGTAGTTTTGATTTGCATTTCCCTAGTGTTAAGTGACAGTAAACATCTGTTCATGTGTCTGTTGGCCATCTGGATGTCTTCTTTGGAGAAATTTCCGTTAGTGTCTTCTGCCCATTTTTTAATTGCATTATTTGTTTTTTGAGTGTTGAGTTATATTAGTTCTTTATAGATTTTGGATATCTTCGTATGTTTATTGGCCATGTGTTTCCTTTTCTGCAAAATGCCTGTTTTTTCTTTTGCCCGTTTTTTGATTGAGTTACTAGAGCTTTTCTTCCTTATTTGCAGGAGTTTTGTGTGCCTGTGTATATGCATTTGTGTATGTGTATATATGCATTTGTGTGTGTGTGTGTACACAGGGGCACACACACACGTATTCTTGATACTGGTCTTTTGTCAATTGTGTAGGTTGTGAATATGTTCATCCCATTTAAATTTTTTTTTCAACGTTTTTATTTATTTTTGGGACAGAGAGAGACAGAGCATGAACGGGGGAGGGGCAGAGAGAGAGGGAGACACAGAATCGGAAACAGGCTCCAGGCTCCGAGCCATCAGCCCAGAGCCTGACGCGGGGCTCGAACTCACGGACCGCGAGATCGTGACCTGGCTGAAGTCGGACGCTTAACTGACTGCGCCACCCAGGCGCCCCTGTTCATCCCATTTATAACTTGCCTTTTACTTCTTTTACATATTTTTTGTTGAACCACAGTTTTTAATTTTAGCATGGACTACATCAGTCTTTCCTTTAATAATTCTTTTTGTGTCTCATTTCAGAGATCTCTCCCTACTGCTAAAGTCTACAAGGTATTCATCTACAGTTTCTGTTAGGTATCTTAACATTTTGTTTTGACTATAAGCCCTTAGTCCACCTGGAGGTGATTTTTGTACATGGTGTGAAACAGGAATCACATTTCATCTCTGTGAATGTGAATAACATGTTTTTAGCTTCCTTTGTTCCCCCGCTGATCGGACATGCTACCTGCATTACGTAACCAGAGTTCATATGCACACAGGTGTGTTTCCAGGTTCTTCTTTCTGTTCTTCTAGTCAGTTTGTCTATCTGTTGCTCTACCACATTGCCTTATTACTAGAACTTCTTAATGAGCTGTATGTCTGGAAGAAAAGTTCTCCTCTGACCTGTTTTTTCCTTCTTCAGAAGTGTTCTGGCCATCCTGGCCCTTTACTATTTCACTGATGTTTTATTTTAAAGTTATCTTTAAACAGGAAAAACCCTGTTGGAATTTTGATAGGGAAATCACTTGAATCTGTAGATGAATTTGAAACAAAAATTGATGTATATTATTGAATCTTGCTACCCATGAACATGGCATACCTCTCCATGTTTTACAAATTCCCCCACAGAGATCTTACACATTATTAAATTTATTCCTAGATATTTGAAACTTTCTATCATAAAAGATGACCTCTCTTTATCTGTATACTCTTTGCTGCTGCTGTATAAAATATGGACTTTTGTATATTAATTTTTTTATCCATTCTCTTGCTAAACTGTTCTATCACTTCTAGTAATTTATAGGCAGACCTTTTCTTCTTTGTTCCTATGTAAAAAATCATATCCTCTCAAAAAAATGGCAATTGTTTGATTATACTGGGTGAGACTTCCAATACATAGTTGACAACCAATGGTGACAGTGGGCATACTTGTCCGGTTTATAGGAATATTTATAATACTTGTCCAGGGGCGCCTGGGTGGCGCAGTCGGTTAAGCGTCCGACTTCAGCCAGGTCACGATCTCGCGGTCCGTGAGTTGGGCGCATCAGGCTCTGGGCTGATGGCTGGGAGCCTGGAACACATTTCGATTCTGTGACTCTGTACTTCCCGTTCATGCTCTGTCTCTCTCTGTCCCAAAAATAAATAAACATGGAAAAAAAAAAATTAAAAAAAAAAAA